TTGACGGATAGTAAGAGCTGGATGTATTGAAATAGTGAATGATATAAATATGATAATTGATTTCGCTGATTGTAATAAAGGAACTACATGAAGCTACTAGACAATTATTGATGAAGCTGATAATATGTCTTTGATTAAAATATAAAGCAGAATGCAAATACAAACATCAAACCGAATTAGTGCCCGATATTATTCATATAATGAAAATCTAAATAAGAGAAAGGATATATTTAGTGACAAAGATGAAACAAAAAGTGATATAATGCATAACACAGATGAGGTGTGTTAAAGTATTGTGATGCGATAGGTATATATGAAAAAAGACTTAATAAAAAAAGTGTGTTCAGATTGAAGAGTTCTTTCATCAAATTGTTTCGAGCTTAAGGATCAAGTGAAACTGAAAACAGATTAGAGTTATAGATAAATATGATAAAATATAAAATAGAATAATTACAACTTGCCAAGCGGTTGTATTTGATTATCAAGGATGAGGAATGGTTAAGATCTTTGAATAGCAATATAAAATAATACAGAAAACGGAAAACCTATGTAAGCAAGTAAAGAATATTAGTAAAAATAAGGATATTATAAAAACACAAAAGATAATTTAGTTGTTATAGCTGTAAGCGATGGATATGGTTGATGCAAAGTAAATCAAGATAAAGAAAACAATAATGAGATGAAGTATAAAGTATAAACAAATAGTCAAGAATTGAAAAATAAAGTTAGACCTTTGAAATTATCGTCCTTGATAATTGATTCTTATAAAATACCTTAATCCCAACTATCATTTATCTAAGTCACAATATGATATATTGGCTCATCTTCAACTTCAGAGCTAAACTTGATATGTTGAGTACTTAGAGATGTGCCATTTTTATGGCACTGAATTTTTTTTGTATACGGTAGTAGAGTAGTACTTGGTACTGTATATAACAACTATGCTCTTTTGAAGACACTAACTTTATTATTGTTAAAACTGAAATTCTCAGTTGAAATGGAAAAATAATTAGAAAATTGTTATAGAATTTTTTACATGTAAAAAGAGTATATATGTAAGCAAAACTTGCCAATTAATAAGAAACTCATCTGAGTTTGATACTTTGATATGTAGAAATATTTGTAAAATGTGTACTTATCATAGATAAAACACCAGTAAATTGTGTACTTATCAACGGTGAAGTACTAGTACTTTGTAATAACATGGTAACCTATGTAGTAAGAATTCCTAAAATTCATAGAATTCGCGGCTCGGTTATGTTGATAAAGAAGGGATTAAGGAGAATAAGAAGAGAAATTGTTATTCTTCTATATATAATTATTTTCTCTCCCAAAATAAACTCTTTAAAGTTCGAAAACTTCAAAAAAAATAATAATAATAACTTGTCGTTCTACATAAAATTGCTATATTTTTTTTATTTGATTATCATTAGGGTCATTATGCGTTGAGAGAGTTGAGAGAGAGAACTGATGTATTACAAAAAAATCACTTATATAGTAATTTAATAATTAATACTATAATGTCATTCATACATGTGACCCGAATTATGTAGAGTATTGAATTGATATTCAACATAAGAAATATAAGCAAGTCTCTTAGCAGGACTTCAAAACTCTAATACTTGTACTAAGTCTATTCATGTTTATCCATGTCTCATCCAAGTTTAATATTATCTGCAGCCCCTAATACTCGGACTAGCCTCACTATACTCAAAATGTGAATTCATAATCTAAAGCTAAAAGATATTTAGATATAATCACACTTGTAGATTCATATAAAACTATGATATCATCTCTGCTTTATTTATCTAACACAATAAATTCAGATACTTCGGTGCAGGACAATAGTACTCTTGAAAATTTAAGAAAGGAAGCATGTAAATATTTCAGACAATGTAAATTTCTCAAAGCAATAGAACTTTATAAAAAAATTATCAAAAACAGCCATCATAGTTCATTAAACCAGTACTAAGAAGTCATCTTTTTTTTACTATTAATATATAATATAATCGATATGATATTTAAAATATTGATATTAAATAGCTTTAAAAAAGTACAAGTTTTTTATATACAAATAATTTTCAAGATTATGATTGCCCTCAATATACTCGCCATCCTTACAATTATAAATAAAGTGTATTGCATTAACTAACTTAACTATGCTAACAGGAAAAATTTTTCTCAAGTTGTTTGTTGCTAGTCTATATACTGGACAATCTAACTTTGTTTGGTTTATATTTTTGAAACTGTCAATAATAATAAAAGTAAGATAGCGTTCACTTTTTTTGTAGCAAAATATCGCATATATAATTGCAATATATTCTTCTTTGTCAGAATTAATCAAGATAATATCTCCAACGTGTAAATAGCATTGCACAGAGATGTTATTCTCTTTAATAAAAAAACTTGCTTGCTCAAAAAATAATGGTAATTTCTTCAAAACCACAGGTGTATAATCTAAATCTTTATAGCATAATGCCAATTGCTTTTTGAAATTTGATGGCATTGATTTCTCAATGTTTCTTCGTGGAATTCGTTTTCTTAATGAAATTTTATCTGGTGAATAATTAACAAATATATACAGTATAAATATATATTAATTAGATAAAAAAAAAATTAATGGTTATATTTACTAATCAGACCTTCTTCTATATTATCCTCGACATCATCAAAGATAAACCAGTTATTTGCTAAAGGCCATAAGTGCCATGAAAGATCAATTAATACATTGTTTGAAGAGGGAAAACACATGTCTCTACCTCCATTTAACAAATGGCATACTGCAAACAATATATTATAATGTCTCAATAAATCCAGGTCTATGTTTTTCCGATTAGTTCGTGGCACAATATTCTTAAATATTCTATGTACCATTTCTTTTGTTTCTACGTCTATATTTAGTAAGTTTGCGTAATTTCTGGCATGCTGAGCCATGTAAAAGTTGATGTACAAATTCAGAAGATTTTCAAAGTCTTCAAATGACTACGTATCGGTATATTAATATTTAATTATAATAGATATTAATTGGGAAAACAATGCGATAATTAATTTTAAATAAAAAAAAACTATAATTAATACCTGTGTTAATGTTTTCCATTCATTATTCAGACACTTTCGCAATTCATCATAACCCTCTTTTGTAAAATACTTCTTAAATGAGACTACCATCATTTTTGATACTATTATCCAACATTTTAACTAAACCTTTATAGCTAAATCTATGTTTGTAATGCTTAGTCGTTGTTGCAGCTTGTAAATCTCGGAGTGCTTAAAATATTGAGGCTTCAATAGTTTGTTAATAATAAAGGGGAATACTATTGCCAATCTTAAGCAGTTGGACATTATAAAGCTATCAATATGAGATATTAGATTTGGCAACTTTGACCAATTGCTTGGATATTTAAATAACTTCCAAATTGAAATAAATGCTGATTTTCCTTCTGTTGAAAAAGCATCAAGTGTTATTTTAAGAAGTCTCAACACTTTATCAGCTATAACATGATACACATCATGTAGTGATTGTAAATGACTTTCCTATTATAGTTGGTTAAATATCAGTAGATGCAAACACAACCCATATCTTGAAGCTATTTCTTTACATTCTGCTATAGTTGATGCTGAAGAAATCTCTTCAAATTGTTCATCCGTAAAGTGCTAATAACGAGAATTTACAAACAAATCAATGTTATTAGATGTCCACAAATTTTTGGCTGTATTACAAGTACGACAACCTTTTGTAGCATTATGCTTTTTAACTCCCACTAGATCATTGCCTTGTGGCAAATCAGAAGTTACATCTCCAAGGCTTGCAAATACAAGACTTTTATTGCCTTGCATGTCCATTACTTTTCCCTTTTCTAAAAGTTTCATTTCTGAAACAAAAGGGCCAATAAATTTATTGAAAGAACTACCAAATAGTACAAATCCAAGTACGAAATAGTTCTTAAGCTGTTTTCTTTGATCAAAACGTATATTTCTAATTTGAACATAAACACCACCCAATGAGTGATAAGTATTGCGAAATGTTCCGAAGTCATCATAGTAAAGATCTATATATAATTTATAAACTGGAAGACTTGCAGTAGATTCTTTTAACTTAGCAAACTCTGAAGGATGTTTGTAAGTATAAGCAATATTTCTTAATCTCCATTTACTGTTATGCTTATATAATATTTCACGGATTGTGATTGAAGAAAGTTTATTTATATTATTATAATATAGAATTGTAACCATAATACGCCTTATAACTGTTTGCAATTCTATAGTTATAATTGCATTATTCACCTCTCGATCCAACATCCATACTTCGCCTCTTATTGATCTTTCTTTACGATTATTACTCTGCATATTTCTTGGTAGCTCTTTAAACGTTAGAATGCGTTAGATGTTGATATAAAGACTGCTATCTTTTTGAACTATTGATTAAATATGGCCAAACCTTTTTGTAGATTCTTGATAAATCACGAAATTCCCAGTATAATATTTTACTAGAAAATCATAAACATATTAATAACATGTATTTAAATCAAATAAAATAAATAACAAAGTATATATATATATATATATGAAAAATTAAAAGCAAATCATTATCTTCATTTATAATCACAGATTCTTGTCCAAATCTTGGAGATTCCTTCCAAATATTGCCATGCCACAATTCATAATTTCTTGTAGCCTCTTGTCCTGGACCAAAGTACATCGTGCAGAATAATGAAAGGTTGTTTAGAGAATACCAAATAATATCAGAAATTGACAAACAATATGCCTTTTTGGTGTCTTTTGATGTAGATAGTGTTTTTTTATTAGAAATATGAATTTGATATGATTTAATTTTAAGTAAAGGCAGTCTTTGCCTATATTTTCTAAATCGTCTAATGTTCTTTACAACATCTTCGCTTTTGAATTAAGGATGATAAATTATGTCTACTAAGTTGTTATAAGCAAGGGTAGCTAAAAAATAAATAAAAACATTAGCAAATAAATATAATATTTATTATAAATCATTTTAACTTATATATATTATGCTTCTGGATCCAGAAAAACATTAATACTTCTGTAATGTTACTGAAGTATAGCATGAATTTTCCATTAATAGATAGCATTTCTTCACTACTTAAAGGCTCATCAACAATTTCTCTGTTAAAATCCTCTTTATTCAATATATCATCTTCGCTAGACAAATCGCCTTCACTCAATAAATCGTCTTTACTCAAAAAATCATCTTCACTTGACAAATCGCCTTCACTCAACAAATCGCCTTCGCTCAACAAATTGTCTTCGCTTAAAAAACCTTCTTTGCTTAGCAAATCGTCTTTGCTCAATATATTGTCTTTATCTAATACATTATCAGAATTATCATCCGAAATTTCATAATTGAAATCCTCATTATTAGACTCCTGTTCAATGTGATCGTTGTTAGAGACGTTAGTTCTAGTACTTCTCTTATTTATTATTTCATGTGAAGGTGTGTTAAATATACGAGATGGATGTCTTATATAATTCTGACGAGAGTTAAAAGAAATATAACAGTTATGAAACATTGTAAGAGAAATAAGAAAAATAAGAAAAATTTTAGATATTAATGTAAAAAATGTGATCATAGAAAATATATAAATTGAGTTTATAATTTACTTACAAGCTTACTAATCAGAATATTGTCATATTGATTATTAATATATATATACTATGTTGATATTTAAATTAAATTAATCACCTCATTTTATTGTCATCAATTTTCTGTAGATGCAGTATATATAAAATTGCAAGGTTGGTATGAACACATATATGCTTAATTTACAATTTGAATATCCAAATGTTAAACCATCAAAATTAATTTTTTTGATTCATGGTTTTGGTCTGGTACAAATTGACACTTGGGGCACTTATGTATTAATCACGATTGAATGTAATAAATAATAATGCATAAAATCGATACATAAAATCGAGCAATTATCGTTAATAAAAAATACTAAATTCGGTAAAAAATCACGTGATCTTACAATCTTTTCTCCCATCTTGAAATTTTCTAATTCAAAGGCTATGCGGATTATAGTCATCGAATCAAAAAAAGAACATAAGGCTTTTCATCATGAAAAACTTCCCATTCATATAACCCATAAATATTGATTATATATAGGTGTCAGTCACAAGTTTTATTTATCCAAATTTTGGCATTACCAAACATTAGATCTATTTTAGCATGTGATCTCACAGATATAAAAAGCATTGAATTCTTTTAGAAAAAGGATATAAAAATAAAATTAAAAACTTCAATTAAATTCATATATACTAGAAAAAGAAATGAAATTGACAATTTTTTCAAAAGAAATTAGAAATTTTTTTATATAAATCAATTTATAAAGTAGTTATATTAATAAAAATTTGCAGTATATCTTTTTAAAGTTTATGATTTATTTATTAATTTCTGAAGATCTTTTTTTTGTCCTTTTCTCAGCACCTAGCCCATATCTCCTTTGTTATTATAATATTTTCAAAGAATCAATTGGTAACTTTAATAGAATCCCACTGAGACTCAAATTCTTCGTATCGAAATTGATTTGTAATTCAATAAAAAGCAGTTCTCTAAAATTCTGATATTATTTAATTATGACATAATTATTAAAATCGAAGCTATATAATAAACTTTCAATGTTTAACAATAGCATATTATAAATAGTAATTTTTTTTTTAGTTTACTACTTTAACATAGCTACTAGAAGTTCTAAAAAACTTGCAAACGATAAAATATCCACTACTGCTAAGCGAGGCCGCAAAAAAAATGAAAATTAATCTTTTGAGCGTTGATAATTTACAAAATAACTCAAACACTGTCAAAAAATGAGGCCATAAAAAGAAGCAAGAAACAACTGCATCATCATCTCAACAAGTTATGAATGAAATTATGAACGATAATAACAACTTACTAGGCAAATATTACTTTGATTTTGATTTTTGTTAATTATGATGTTTTATGATTTTCTTTTTTTTTTAGATGACAATAAAAATAAGTGAGATAGAAAAAAGAAGCAAAAAACGGTTACATCTTCACCTTCACAGATAATTGACGAACTTATTAATGATGCTAACAATTTACAGGGCAAATATTATTCTAGGCTTTCTTTAATTATTTATATAATGTTTTATACAACGATTTTTTTTTTTAGGTGATAATGAAGATGTGCAAGGTCACAATAAGAAACAAAAAATGATTACTCCTTCATCTTCACAAGTAATTTATGAACTTTTAAAAGATTCTGATGACTTACAAGGTAACGACTACTTTTGTGAATTATTTTTATAGTTTTGTTATATGGGTGTTGTCTATTATAACAGGTGACTATCGGGCAATCTCATAATGTGTTGGCCTTACGTGCTTCGTGAAATTTTTCTTTTACAATTATCTTGATTTTTTATTATGCAAATCGACTTTCATTTATAATTGAAAAATATTGATCATGTCAAAATTTATATAAATTTAATAAAAACTCATTTTTCAAAAAATTGCAAAAAGGGGCTGTTTTAATAGATAACACCCCATATTATGATATTTTCACGATTCTCTTTTTAGACGATGATGATTTACAAGGTAATGAATGCTTTTGTAAACTTAACATTTTCATCTTGTTATAGTGATATTTTATGACTCTCTTTTAGACGATGATGAAATTGCAAGCCTTGGTGAATTGTCTCAATCTTTATTAATTATGCCTTTATGACAACAATCACTAGCTCATGATTTAGAAATGAATCATCAGTTCTAGAACCATCAAGACAGTTTTCGCCAACTTTAGGGCTGAGAGTTGTGCTTTCAAGAAGATCATCGCCAGCTCAAGGTTCAAGAACTAATGCAAACTCCTCCAATAATACGCTTGGCCATTTTAATCCTAACAACACAGTTATTCTATCACTATTTAATAACATGTCAATTTATCAAATTTGCTTGTGGTTATGTTCAAATTCAACCATTCTACAGCTTGCAAATAGCATGAATTTGTTGATGCAAACTCAAGCTGCAAATAGTACACAATTTATAACCTCTAGCTCTCCAGCATTATCAATGACAATCCAAAGTCCATATAATAAGGTAGCTTCACTTTTTTTTAAAAAAAATAAATATCTTTATAAAATATTAATAAATTCATATAAAGACTAAAGTTAGTCGAGACTATTTGGAAGAATTAAAGTGCCTTTTTTTTGTGTTTGACATCCTCCAAGAAAAGTGTTCGAGAACTTGGTGTAGCAGATTATCAAATGTGATCTCAATTCAGCTGAAGGTATCGAATGGCTTCAAATGGCTACAAAACACTTCAGTGATTTCCATAATAAATTAATCAATAACATTAAGATGTTAGTGAAAGATTTCAAAAAAAAAAGAACTCGGTTAATATGTAGTTCATTATTCTATAAGCTCTTTTTATTTTTCTTGAAATGATATTTTTTTCATTATATTTGTAGTTCTATAACAAGTTCTTTACAAAAAGAAGAAATTGTCACATTCATAGACGAATCTACAACTATTCAGGTATTAAATCGGTGGTTGAATACAATGGATATGGACGAATTACATATTCAAAATTCAATACCTTATTTATGCAGGTTTATTCAAAGCGCATTTACTATTAATTATATATCAAGAAACCTTGAAGGGACAAAGGCATTGGATAGATTAACAAAAAATATTGCTGTTCCATCACGAAATAGCAAAAACTATGCCAGCAATCTGCAATTGTAAGATTTTCATATAGTGAATTAAGATAGTATTGTTGATACTTAAAATATTGGTTTAAACAAAATTTTTATTAAAATTTGTTATTAAATGTAATATTTACAAAATGCTGCAGGAGTATTAGATTATACAAATATAAGAAATAATTCAAGTAAACATATTTACTACAGTGGCGGTAATCTAGGAATAGTTAAAAGTCTCATTTCGCTAATACGTTTGAATTTTCTAATTCTAACTATATACAGTAAAGTGCCAACCAATATATCTGGATATTTACAAAAACTAGAGATATACCTGCTATATATTTTTCAGTTAACTTTACCAGTCTTTAATGTTTACACCAGCTAGATATTCTTCAAAGCATAAAGATGCTATTATTCAATATATAATATGAATAGCATCTAAATATAAATAGAATTCTTATCCACTACATGCTGTGTTATCGTAAAATGCCATGCGAATTCCCCTATAAGTTGTACTCGGGTTATTCTGTTAATATCAATATAAAAATTTCAAACAATTCAACTTATACTATATATCAAGACATCGAATTAAATTTTATTAATTTTAGAGTAAAAAAAAAAAAATTCTCAAAGCCATAAGTTGAATTTTACTTAGAGTTTTTGCAAAAAATCAAACATAGAACCTTTGAGGTAGTTTTAATGACTATTCTTCATTCAAAAGAAACTCGAAAAATAAGTCTAAATCTTTAAGATATTCGTTTTTTTTTTTTTATAATTAATCAATATAAAAGTAATATTCAATTTATGCAAATATAGCTATATAACATAGTTTTATATATATAAAAGCTAGTATAACAATAGCAGATAAAAATAAAATATTCACATTTATTACCGTAAAGTGCTATACGATAGATCCTATATGAGTTGTACCTGAGTATTCTTCAAATAAGAATTCTATTTATATCCGCATATTATATATCGAATAATAGCATCTTTACGATTTGAAAAATATCTAGCTAGTATAAACATTAAAGACTAGTAAAATTAACAGCAGGTATATCTCTAGTCTTTGTAAATATCCGAATATATCGGTTGGCACTTTACTATATATAGTTAGATCTTTTTATTAGAAAAATTTCTGGTAAACTATTTAATGGGTAGCGAAATTGTTTATATCATTAGTCGTAACTTAAATTTATTAACATTATTGCTGTTGAATTGGAAGTGCTGTAAGAATATGTCAAGATTTATTTTAAGCGACAAAAATTAAAAGTAAAAGCAAAAGAATAACCAAATATAAGGTAAGAAATATATAACAAACTAATATGTACAGTAATATTAAAGTCTATACATTTGATACTAAGAAACTATTAAATCTTTGCGACATGTAACGTAGGATTAAATTACCAGAATTATTTAAGAAATTATTAGAAATTATTATAACTATATAGAATCGACTTTAGTTCAAAATTCAGTTTGGAAATTTATTCAAAGCATCATTTATAACCCACTAAGGTGAAACCAGAGAACGTTGTAATTTTTTGACATAATTCTTGAAACCATTATTTTCTCTAGAATGCAAAAATACTGATTCTGATGGATCGTTAGTACTGTTAATAAAAATAAAAAAAAACTCGATTTACATACCGGGGTTCATATTACTATTGTATAGCATAAATGTTCGACAGAACAACGTATCATAAAAAAAATATGAAAAATAGAAAATAATTTGTTTTTTATATTTATTTAGCAACCTCTATACTGCCATAAGAACAGTGGCACAGGAAAACAGTGTAATTGCATGGTCTGGGTAACAATATGCAATACGTACGTACTATATAAAAATTAGGAATCTTTCGAATTTAGTTATTAGAATAGTGGTCAGGATGATTTGGGCTGCCATCAATAGAAATTAGACAAATTAGCATTTTTTGAAATAAATCTAACCTCAACTTTTATAGCTCATATCTCAATAAATTTTGAAGCTAGGTTGATTATTTAAAATTCAAAAGAATGCTTAAATTCTAAGCTTTTTTTTTTGAATTTTAAATTTATCAAATAGGTTTAAATTTCACCAAAATATGAGTTGTGAAAGTTGAAGTATGGATTTTTTTAAAAATGTTAATTTGTCTGATTTCTATTAATGGTAGCCTATTTATCACTTTTACATATATTTAATACAGTATATAGTAAAGAATAACTTGCATGTTTTTAAATGCCTGAAAAGCAATCGCTTCACTTTTTTCAAATAATCGATTCTTAAACATATTTATAACAAAGTTATGGTGCAATTTTTTAATATTAATAATTAATTCAATTGATTCTTTACAAAAATTTAATTTCGAATTGTAAACCATTCAAAGAGAGATATTTTATGTTGCAGGTAAAAAGTTTAATACTAGAAAAATAAAAAATTTTAGCATAACTTTGTTAAAATATGTTTGAAAATCAATTTATACATTTCATTCTAGACATTTAAAAATATGCAAGTTATATTTTATTATTAAAAAATATATATATAAGTGATACAATATCCTGATCACTATTCTGGCCATTATCCCAATCTTAAGTTCAAAAAAATCCTTAATATCCGGGTCTGTATTATTTCACCGACAATCATTTCATTAGCAAGTTCATTTTACCGACAGTTTATTTTACCGAAGCCCTCACCTCACCGACAAGTTTTTTTTTGTAAATTACACTAACTTTAACTCTAATTCTAACCCAACCATAATGATATTGATCAGAATTATATTGCCTATAAAATAGGCTTCATTGAAGTAAACTTGTCGGTAAGTAATTGGTGGTGAAATGTGGTGTCTACGAAGTGATTGTTAGTGAGTTGATCGTATTTTGGTACTGTACAAAAATAGTCAGTTATTAAAAGTTACTAAAATTATTATACATTGCTACTTAATTGTAATCTAATTGCTGCTTAATTATTACTTAATCGCTACATAATTAAGTTTGCATTTATATACAAATTTATTTACAAGTTGCAACGAAGTTGATATAATATTGTAGCGAAATTACTACAACATTATAAAAATTTAAATAATAATATTGTGAAAATATAGTTACAATTTTTTGACAAAATTGTAACTATATTAAAATGATATTATTACAATTTTAAATTTAAATTGTTACAACATTTTTGCAAAATATTATAATAATATAGTTATGACTTTTATACGATTTATTTACAATTTAGATACAATATTGAAACGAAATAGTAGCTATATATTAAAAAAGTCAGTTGTAATGATATTGTAACAATTATGTAACTAATTAGTAACAATTTCTTAACGATTTTGCTACAAAATGCTAGGTTTTAGCAAAGGACTTATTTTATTAAACTTTTGTTTTCTTCTTCTGAATTGTTTTTTAAAATATAAAACTACTTGCTTTTTAACTTCTTTTTTATTACTAATAAGCTCTTGATTTTAATAATGAGAATTTTCTTCTAGCAAAACCCTGTCTATAGTTACTTTGTTGTAAAATCTATTTAGAAGGCTTTGTAATATTCTTTTTTTATTATTTCTTATCATATTAAAATATTGTTTTACTTTGAGACTAATTTTTTTTTTTGTTTTTCTTCTTCTTTTTTTTTTAAAACTTTTTCTTAATTTTTTAGATCATCTATTTCTACCTGGTTCCAATATTTTGGTATTTATAAAATATATACTGTATTTGATATAGTTGATTTAAATTTTCAATCTATATATTGAGTCTTGTTTGATCATTAAAACTTATTTTTTTCTCATTATGTATACAACTTTTCTTTTGCAACTAGTATAAAAACTTGGTTTTCTTGTATATTTTATGCTTTGAAACTAAGATTTTGGCCTATATTTTAGTTTTTTTAATACCAATCCATAGAATATACTTTATTGCTATCTTTAAAATTGTATTACTTATAATCTCCTACTCTTTGTTAAACTTTAATTCATTATTTTGAACAATTTCTTCAGTATTAGAGATTTTTTTGTTTCTTAAAAAAGTATCTATACACTTTTTATAGAACTTTTAATTTTTCTTTGTTGCTTTATAGTATAAGAAAACTCTTTTTGTTGATTTGTTTTTTTCTCTTCTCCAAAATTTACTATAATATAGTATTGTATCTGTTTCTATTTCTGCTCAAACGAGCTTGTGATTACTTCTTGTTAAAATGTTCATATCACTAATATTATTATTTGTGATAAGATTTTGAAAACCTTCTCCTAACCATATATAATTTATTTTTAAAGCTAGCTTGTCTTTTTGCCAAATATATTTTTTTTGTAGAGATTTATATAACAAAAAGAATCTATAAAATCTCTATTTCTAAGCCACTCTATTAAAGCTTTACTTAGCTCTTGATCTTTATAACTATTATTGTTTGTGTTCATATTTGTACTACCTACTGTATTAAAATCTTCTATTATGCAAGTATATATATTGATCTTGTTACTATATACTATAAAATGCTCTTTATAATACTCTCTGTATAAAGTACCTCTCTGACTTTTTTAAAGATAATTTTTGTATTATTAAAAAGTATTAAATATTACAGATTAAAATGAAATTAGATTAATAGGCAATTCTCCAGTTAACTGGACAAAAATTTTTTTTTTATATATAAATTTTATTATAAGTGCGAATGCACCGAGCCTGTATCTAAAACTTTTTTTATACTAAGTAAATCACTCTTCGGCTTCTAACAAAAGTTGTAGAGCTTATCAAAATGT